CTATTAATTTCATGTATACAAATTTGAATAAATAAAATTAATTTATACAACTCTATAACTGTAATCCTGTGCAGGTATAGAGTTAGAATAAGAGAAAAAATAAAGTAAAAAAAAAAAAAAAAAAAAAAAAAAAAAAAAAAAAAAAAAAAAAAAAAAAAAAAAAAAATATATATTATATATATATATATATATATATATATATATATTATATATATATATATATATATATATATATATATTATATATATATATATATATCATTCACTTTTTTTCCTAGACAAAGCAAAGTATTTGACAACATAAAAGTAAAAAAGAAGAAAAAAGGAATCTATTAATGCAAAACATAACATTTGGGATTATAAAACATAAAAAATCATAATTTAAAACTGTACAAAAGGAATACTTACAATTGTACTTAAATCCCTTCTCAAATTACTCTTATTTAACACTAGCATCAAATATAAAAAAGAAGGAAAATCAACGACCAAGCTTTGTACTACCCTGTACTTGCAGGGCAAAAATTACTTGAGAATAAAAAAAAATTATCATGAAAGACAGCAAACAGAGAGAGGACTTGTCAAAGCATGAAGAGCCAAATGTACTTATCTAGGAATGCTTACAAAATATATTCACCAACCAGTGTCCCTAGATTTCATTAAAGAGAGACTGCAAATGCCTCCATAGCACCTTGCATTATCATAATAAGAATAAGTTCCATCAATATGGAGGGTTGACAAATTTGGGGAAGACTTTCACTTTCAAGCAATGTCCTGCGTAACTTTCAGCATCATGCAATTTCTTCCATGAATGCACATGCATAAGCAAAATCACAGACAACAGAAGCGTGTCTCTAGCACTCATTTCCTTTCAAGCCATATTAACACTTACAGCACATCTATGGAAAGAACATTCACGATTCGCAAGCATCAGAATAAAGTAAACAATATATAAAATATAACCGAAAAAAGAAAACCAAAAACGGAATACGCTACAAAATGCATTAGCGTCATCTAGCCCTAATATGCAAAGGCCAAGAAGAAAAGACGCAGATGCACTGTCGGTCTTATTATTTCATGATCATTTCATAAAGAATGCCACAAGTTCTTTACACTCGAATATGTCCTTTTTGTATCTCTCCAATATAATGTACAAAATCACATGCTATCTGGAAACAATCTGAGCAATCATAAAAGCAAATAAAGAAGGTAGTACAGTCACTCCTCAACTTGTGTAAATGTTATGTTGTATGTTTTTTCATTGGTATATTTTCATCCTAAAGTAAAATGAATTAGTGTTCATTAATGCATAAAACCTACAAGGCCGTGCCAAGTTGAACAGCAGTGGGTTATGAGGCAGATGGATGAATGGAGAGATTGTTTCACATGTTCTATACCGATGGGTCTATATCCTTCTCTTTTTGTTGTGAAGCTTCTCTTCCTCAATATTGATTTCATAATACTTTACAATATTGCCTACTGGATTTTGTACCTAAATTAGACACATCTCCAATAGCAATGAATAGATAACTAAATTGTTGGAGAGGCAGAGAGAGAGGGAGAGAGGATAAGAGAGAGAAAGGGGAGGGAGGGGGAGGGAGGGAGAGAGAGAGAAGAGAGAGTGGAGAGAGGAGGGGGGGGGAGAGAGAGAGAGAGAGAGAGAGAGAGAGAGAGAGAGAGGAGAGACAGAGAGAAAAGCGAGTCGTCGTGCCCGCTCGGGGCGAGCGGCCGGCGCCATGGGCCGAGGTTGGAGGGGGTGCCGGCGGGTGAGCGTGTGTCGGAGAGTTGATTGGGGGGGTGGGGGGAGGAGAGGAAGAGAGGGGGGGAAAAGAGGAGGAGATGGAGGAGGACGGGAGAGGGTGTGGGGGGATGTGGGTGGCGGTGGATGAAAAGGGAGGAGAGTAAGAGGCGGTACAGGAAGAGGTGGGGGAGAAGAGAGCTTAGAGAGGGTGAGAGGCGCGTAAAGAGAGGGAGAGGAGAGAGAGGAGAGCAGGAGAGGTAGAAGAAGGAGAGAGCGAGAGTGAGAGGAGAGAGAGAAGGAGATGAGAGAAGAGAGAGAGAGAGGAGGGAGAAGGAGAGACGCGGGAGAGGGTGAGGGCTGAGGAGAGAGAGAGAGGGTGGGGTGAACGTAGGCTAGAGAGGAGTGTAGAGAGGGGAGGGGGATAAGAGAGAGAGATGAGAGGGAGGGGAAGAGAGGAAGTGAGAGAGAGGTGGAAGGGTGAGTAGAGGCAGGAGGGGAGGTGAGTGAGAGGAGAGAGAAGGAGAGGAGGGAGAGGGAGGAGAAGAGAGGAAGGAGAGAGAAGAGTAAGAGAAGCACAGGAGGAGGAAGAGGAGAGTATAGGATGAGACGAGTAGGGAGGAAGAGTAGGGAGGAGAAGGGGTGGAGAGTAGGAGAGGAGACTACGGTGTGGGAGAGAGAGCGGTGGGAGAGAGGGGGAGAGAGGCGAGGGAGGGAGGGGAAGGGAGGGAGGGGAGGGAGGGAGGGGTATGAGAGGAGGCGAAAGGTGTCGGTGACACGTGCGGCCCGTAAGATAACCCAGTAGGAAGGGGGCGAGAATCATAGGTGGGGTTCGACTGGTACGGAGTGTGACCAGAGAGATCGATGGGATTTGGTAGTGATAATGTTGTAGGAAAGTGTCATGCGGAGTGCGGGGGGCGCGAGTGATATGGCAGGCGTACTATGAGTGATATGGAACCTGGGAGTTGAAAGGTATGAGTGGGAGATTGCTGCAAGTTGAGGTGGAGTGTTGGGCCGGGAATGTGGTAGCACCTCGTAGCGTCCGCGGAGAGTGAGTCTTCGATGGGTAGTGGAGGCAGGTTGTATATCGGCGGCCAGCTGAGATATTCGTGGTGGTAAGTGCCGAGAGGAGGTGAGCGTAGGACGGGTGTATGGTTGGACGGGTGTGAGTCGTTGGTGAGAGGCGGAGAGGCGTTGTAGCGGGGGAGGGCGGGGTTTGGTGTTGTAGTGGGGGTTCGAGTAGGGGCGGCTGCTGAAGAGCGCATGAGGCTTTTGGCGTCGTGTGGGGGTGGGACAGGTACTGCTGGCGGATGCGCAGGGGAGGAAGGGGTTGGAGAGGGAGGGGAGATGGAGAGGAGAGAGGAGGAGAAGAGGACGAGAGAGAGGTGAGGAAGAGAGGAGGAGTAGAAGAGAGGGAGAGAAGGAGATTGAGGATGGACGTAGCTGTGAGGAGAGAGAGAGGCGAGAGGTGAGGGAACGAGAGAGGAGGGAGAGGAAGGGATGGGACGGGGAAGGGCGGGAGGTGGGAAGAGGGGTAGAGGGAGAGGCGAGAGGCGTGAGCTGAGTGACTTATGGAAGAGTGGAGGCTGAGTCGTCCGGCGAGGTAGGGAGGGGAAAGTGGCTGTGACGAGGGAAGTGGTCGATCAGATGTTGAGGTGAGAGAATAGTGGCTAGGGGGTGGAGGGTGGAGAAGGATAAGCGGTGACTATTGGGAGGATAGGTGAGTTGAGACGAGCGGAGGGTATCTGAAGCATGGAGTGAGCTGAGTAGTTAGTGGATGGTAGCAAGGACTGACGTGGGTGATCTGTGAAGTGGAGCGCTGTGAGTCGCGGCTGAGAGGACTGGATCATGAGGGAGTGTGCGGCTAGGAGAGAGGACGTGACTGAGAAGGGGAGGAGCAAGGGCGAGCGGCGGATGTAAGAGATGGACGCGAGCAAGAGAGAGTGAGAGAGAGAGGGGAGATCGACGTAGAAGAGGAGGATGAGAGAGGATCTGAGAGGGAGGGGAGGGAGGTGGAGGGGAGGGGGAGGTGGAGGGAGGGAACATGGCGAGGGAGGGTGATGGGAGGGCAGGGGAATGGGGATGGGTGCTGTTGCGATGGATCACCGACTGGGGAAAATATGCGCGGAGCAGGTGCCCCAGGGGACGAAGGGAAAAGGTGGCGTGCTTGTTCGGGATCAAGGGCGGTTGTAGTTCGTCGGGCAAACAGTGTTAAAGGGGGAGGGTTCCGTGTCGTATGGGAGGAGTGGCAGGCCCGAGGTGAGGTTATAGCGGGTGAATCGTCCGGAGGCCGGCGCCGTGAAGTGCGAAGGGATGTGGAGTGGCGAGAGTGCGGGTGAGAAGGCCGTGGGCGTGGGGAGAAGTGAAAGAGAGAGGAGAGCAGAGTACATGTGGTGCAGCATTCGTTACGCAGTACGGAAGATTGGAAGGAGGGCTGTAGCTTCAAAAAGAAAACAATAATAAGCCCGGCATCAACTAAGTCTTTGTTTGACGATGGACGCTCGACACGCCGCCGGCCTTCTTAGTGCGTTCCTGATTAAGGTGATCATATGCTGAGACATCCAGACAGTGACAGCAGCCTGTAGTGACAAGTCGTGGCGATCGTTGAGAGACGGCGGTGGAGGGCTCCGTGCTCCTCGCGCCTTAGTAGTAGGCTTAAGACGGCGTCGCCGTAAGACCTGGTAAACGTGAGACAGCTTGAATCCGAAACGCTTGTGCGTGGTAGGCACGGGTCGGGAGCGTTGCTCATCCGCCGAAGGACAACGGAGATACCTGGAAGAGAGGTATTTGATCTCAGAATGTGTTACTGTTAAATGCATCTATCGAACAGTCTAACTCCGTCGGTTAACTAGTTGAGATAGACTTCGCGAGTTCCGGCTGTATATACTTTCTGCTACTATGGATGTAAGGCTTGCACACGTTGTTTTCGAAGTATCAAATATACTTCTATATATTACACTTTTCAATATCAAATGCAAATCTTTTGTAATTATGAAAGCTATGCTATCAATTCATATTGAAATTATATCCTTATGATAGTTCCACAGTATCTTCTATTTTCTGTAACCATCAGTAAGACTAATGATGCAGTCATCAATCTTTATAAAAAAGAAAAGAAAGAAAAAGGTAAATATCAGCTGAATGCAGAAACAAACTGATAATACAAGCACTGAACTAGCAAAAGGTCCTGAAGAATACATTTTGACATCATCAAAATCAAATCATACATCATACAAAGACAATTAATAGGGTTTTTTGAAACTTACCCTCCATCACAGATCTCATCTACAGCCAGCATAATAATGTCAAGATTGTCCAACAGGGTCCGCTTTTCTACATTTTTTCTCAAAATAGCTGAGACTGCGTCATAGAGACAACTCAACACTGACACCAATATGAGCTGTTGAGATGGAGAACATTTAAAACCTATAGAAACAGCAGAAGCATATATTCACTTCATGCATATGTAAAATATATCATGATATAGAAATACAGAGAAACTTTGTAAATCACCTCATTTTCATGTGAATAGCCCATGACATAGAAGAAAAGGTCAACATTTGAGCGGTAGACGCAGGTAAGACGATCGAGCATGATGACCTCTGCATTAGCTCTGTGTGTTTTCTGGAAGAGATTCTTTTCAAATTTCTTCTCTTCCTTTACTGTTGGAAAGACGTTTGGGTCGTAGTACTTTGCGAGCAACCTGTTCCCATCATTGTCAAGGATGGCAATGCCTTTGATGATGTACAAAGTTGGTTCCTAATAAGGAGGATACAAAAGAGTCAGTCACATGAAGTAAAACAGGCCAAAATAGAATCAATATATAACATGTGCAAAAATATCACAAAATGCATATAACTGCTAATGAACCTATTAACAGTCTACAGGCTCACTGGCCAACTTTGGAAAATTATTTATATAGTAAATCTTTTATCTAACTACAGGGCTCTAGGGGGAAGTTAGCATGGTTAATCATCAAATCATAATTTTCCCATGTGAAAAATTATACATAAAGTACTTGATATATTTCTATAAAGAGTAATAGTCAGTGTAATATTCATGCTCTCAATGTAAACTCGAAGAGTAATTTACAAACAGACTAGTTGATCTTCTTTGTTCTAATATATAATTTTTTTCTAATATATACAATTCTTACTTCAAATTTGTGAAAGAAATGCCATAGATATATAAAATGTATCTCAGTTTTCATCGAGGTAACCGTTCCGTACATCAATTATCATAAAAATCTGATTATCATCCACTAAAATACCCAAACAAGGTCTCAAGGAAAAGTTTCCTGGCAATACTTTCAGACTGATAGATCTCTGTGCCATCAGCACTGGCAAAGGTTCACACACTTCAACTACATTTTTTTGGTAAAATATAGAGTGGACTGGTACTCTTTTTAATGACAGATCACCAATGACCTTTTATGTAATAAGGTATGTTTTCTTACTAGTTATTCTGTGCTTTCTTTCCCTAGAACAGTGTTATATAATGTACTCATGAAATGCACAGAAATGTGAGACACAAAACAATACAGGACTTTTCCTACCTTACACACTCAATGGGACATTCGTAACTATGAAAATTACCATCATCAAATATGGTAACTATTCAGAATATCTTATCATGACCAATCATGATGATTTTGGTATCGATGATTCGTTTCACTCTTTACAACCCAAATATATAAAAACTATACCCTGGAAACCCCCAATTACCCACAATCTTGGCCCCGATAAGCATGAATGGTACCAGGGGAATCATTGATGAGATCCAGGTACCATTTTCAATGACAATCTTGATTTGATAGTCCCAATAGCAGGGGAGGCCATGAAGTATATAAAGGAAAAAAATACGTAAAACACGAAAAAAAGCCAAAAATCTGAGAATAAAAAATGTATACAACCAGAAAAAAAAGAAAACAAAAGAGAGAATGAAAGAAATAAAGAAAAAAAAAAAACTAAAAAACTAAAAACTAAAAAACTCGGAATTTAACCCATCTTTCAGTAAAATATACGGGAATTTACACCATCAACACTCCCAGTGGTAATCATACAAAACGTTCTGACCTATAAACCAACCTAACTCCATGTCACAAACTTTATTCAATAATCTAAGTGGCTGTGACTAGGCGACTTTTCATCTATGGAATAAGGTATGCAAACTGAAAATAAAAGAGATGCATGATAGAGGAAAGAGAAGATTGACCCATCTTTTCCTAGGTTCTTTGCCCTGTTTACATCACCAATGTTTACAACACACTGAGTGCTTAATTTATTCCTACAATTTTTCAACTAGTTCATGTATTCCTACATGCTTGTGAAGACAATTATTTTCTAAATTTCAACGTCTGATTTCCCTAACTCATGTATTTTATGCATTCCTTTATTCTTATTAAACTTTAAAAAACAATGTGCATTTGCACTTTCCACCAGGACTTTCAAGACCTCGCTATTGCCACTCCTTGACAAAACGCCTTTGAGGAATGTTTCATTTTCTGTGTTACGTTGATTTTGGGTCCTTTGTAAAATAATATAGTGGCTATGCAGAAGAAATAGACCTTAGTAACTATCACATCTTGATATATGAGCCCATAAAGTGCCACAAATTGCCAGAAAAAATTATTAGAAACAAAGCTATACACAAAAAAGACAGAGGTGAAAGAAAGTTTGGTGTCTCAAGATATACGGGTGTTTGGTATATTCTGTAATCTATGTATGCAGCTCTATCTTACCATACATGCCTAGGTGAAGAGAATATTTCCTGGCTGACTGTTGGGGGGCTCCATCAACCCTCCCCTCTGGAAGTGCTAGAAGGGCACGCCTAGTCATGGCAACTTTGATTGTTGAATAAATTTTGTGCCATGGAATTAGGTTGCTTTACTGGTCAGGACATATTAGGTGTTGTAAAGTCCAGTAGATTTTACCAAAAAATGGGTAGGGTTCCCGTAAAGTTTTTTTAATTTGGCATGTCAATCCACAGACTTTCAAAGATGGTGGACACACCCATAGAGTTTCATCAGCCTTTTTTTTTTTTTTTTTTTTTTTTTTTTTTTTTTTTTTTTTTTTTTTTTTTTTTTTTTTTTTTTTTTTGTGCTGGTTTTAAGCATGGGATTTCTTACAAGAGAGCAACGCACCCTCCCAGAAACTAAGTAAAAAAAAAATTATGTTTTTTGCAGGAAATCCAATGATTTCATTGATTCTCAGCATTGATTCTTGTGCGGATGAATCGTTCAGGAGATCAAGTGCCATTTCTCCATCAATGATCTTGATTTGTTAGTCTCATTAGCAGGGAAGGGCGTGAAGTTTATCAGGGAAATTATGGGGAATAATGTTAAAAAATGAGTAAAACTAGCACAAAAACTGCTTAAAATCGGTCAATTAAACTCTACAGATGTAACCACCATCTTTGAAATTCTACGGGCTGATGCGCCAGAATTCAAAAACTCTACTGGAACCCAACCCACTTTTCAGCAAAAACTCTACGTGAAATCACACATTCAAAACCCCCTAAAAACGTAAAGACCAATAAACCAGCCTAATATATCAATTCTAGTTGCTGTGACTTGGCATGTCCTACTGCCCGAGGGGAGGGTTGATTGGGGTTCTGCCCCCAACATCCCTCGAGGCATTCTCTTCACCTCAGTATGTACGGCAAGATAGAGCTGCATTCATATAGTAAAATAATAAACCAAATACCTTTATAACCGGAAATGTCAAACTTTCGTTGCTTCTTTGTACTGTCTGGATTGCTTTGATTCTAACCACTTTTTTAGTCATTTGGAACTCTTGATGGGCCCAGATATTAAACTGGGATGGTTACTAAAGCCTAATTATTCTTAGTTGCCACTGTACAAGTCTTAAAACAAACAAACAAACACACACACACATACACTGGAAAAGCAACATTTCTCACCAGCATTCCAACTCAAAATGAGCGGGCTGGTGAGGTGTTAACCTGTGTCTGGCGAAAGAAAGTGTGAAACTATCGATGCACACGATTCTAAATAAGGCTATAAATAAATCTTAACCCATTGGTTGCGGTATTATGCAATATGGCGCGTAATCCCCTAATTTTCATTATTTTCAACTCGGGTGGCGTATGGGACCGCACTTGAGTGTGCGCGTGCGCAGTGGTGCTGCCTTCCCTCTTTCGCGCAAATATTTTGTTTACTTATATCTGCGAAAAAATATGTATGCAAAAATTTGCAAAAACCCTTGCAAATACATGCAAACATATGTAAATGCGCTCAGTAAGAGTGGCGGGTGTGGTTTTAGCACGCGCAATAGGCGAACAACTCATTTGGCGGTAAACAGCCCATCGCACACTGGCCCGGGGTGGTGGGCCTGGGCCCTGTAAGGCCGCAAGGGGAATGCCGGCTTGACGGCTGATATTCCCTGGCCCACTCAGCTCCCATGCCGTGCGGCCGCCCGCTGCTCAAAGGGGATCAGCTTTTAATTGCACGGTGCATCATATGATGCCATCCGCAGCCAGTGGGTTAAGACACGTAAATGAAGAATAATAACAATAATAAAAGACTATAAAAGCATAAATGTGTAACAGCAGACACTGATAATTAGCCAAATATCGTTTTGACAAGTGCGTAGTAACACACAAACTAGTTTGGACATTGCAGTTAGGAGTAAAGTGGTCAGTGTTTTGTTATTCCTGGCAAGGCAAAGAAGTTGCTGGACTTAGAATTATATTTTTGTCTTCTAGCGGTGACTATAAGGCCACTGCAACTTAAACTATGTTCTATCCCACTCTTATTTCTTCTGCTCTATAAGATGGCGGTGTCATTTTCCCTCTATCTATGCGCATCAGTGTCTTCAACTTATACCTTTAAACATTTTTGTTCTCTATTCTTCTTATTACAGCCTATCTGCCCCATAATTTCCCTGATATACGTCATGCCCTCCCCTGCTATTGGGACTTTAGACATCAAGATTGTCGGCTGTGATTGCTATGAAAATGACCATCAAATTCATTTTTGTCACATGAGAATATATCTAATAATATAAATATTGTCTGGGAAGTCTTGATTCTCATAAGTGGTAAAATAACCCCTCGGTACATTTGCACTGACAAAAACATGCATTTGCAGAAAATTAGCCATAGAGAACTGTGCAAATAAATAAATAAACACATAGAGAAAGTATAACATAAATGATAGACGTTAAAAGCATAAATGTGGATTAGGAGATACTAATAATTAGCAATATTTCATTTTGACAAGCACATAGTAACACATGAACTACTTGGTATATTGCAGTAGTGAGTTATGTGATCAATGTGTTGTTTTTCTTCACAATGTAAACAAGATGAGTGACGGTCTCTGAAGCGGTGATATTTTCATCACTTGGCAGTGAATATGAGGCTGCTGCAGCTGAACCTCAGTTACTTCTGACTCTTACTTTTTATGCTCTATAGATGGCATTGTCCATATCCCTCTATCTCCCTGCATCACTCTCAGTAACTTGTACCCATATCATGCCCTCCCCTGCTATCACGGACAAGGCTGTCACAAATGGGGAGTTTGTGAGGTGAATATTGATATATCTAGATAGTATAGAATAAGAGGAATCCATAAATACCAACATCATAACGCTCGGTTATTCGAAGGTAATCCGAATAATTACCATACTAGGAAAGACAAGTGAATGGATTGTTGTATATGACTTTTACTATGAACAGGTCAATTATCTAAACTAATAATTTTGTGTTCTACATGACCATCACCGTAATTTCCCCATTTCTTCGCGAGAACGCTTTCCAAACATTAACAAAAGCTAAGATTATATCATAATAGCAACTACGATAATGAAATGTTTCAGGGTAGATCCCGGTACTAAGAACTTTGCTGTCCTTTTTTAAAACTAAGACCCAACAAATAATTAAATATTAACAATTCATAAAACTAATCTACATTCTGTCATGTATTCTCTTGAGATATGAGAACAAATATTTATAAATGGCCATAACAAGAAAAAATATGAATTTGCCTTACCAGTAGACCCGACATGTTTACGTTGCTTCTGACAACTAGACCTGCTACATCCAGCTTTTGAATCATATATTATATTCACCTATTTCTCTCCTTTGAAGACAAAAAGGCTAAAGAAAAGGCTTTACATTATCAGCAAAAACTTATTATTTGGCATCCTGTAATATAAAAATATTTCTTTTTAAAATAAGTTCCAACGTAACACCTCAATAAGAGCCGGATTTAAAGAAACTTGGGTGACACGTAAACGTAGGTATAACATCTTTCTATTATTATTTATTTTTCAAAGAACACATCAAGAAATAACGATGCATTATTTGTTAACAGAGATGCGCTAGAAACAAAAAGGACTTTAGATTTGTAGTTAAAAATGCACATTACTTGACCATCACCTTACTTTTTAAGTACCCCTAATTTATAGAAACAGGGAATAAACGTTCACCAACATGTATTTTCATATACGTACAGACGGATGTTTAAATATAAAAACACAGAAATGAAACACACGCTAAATCACACACACACACATACAAGCACATACTAAATTGCAGTTGTAATTATCTTGGCTGACAGTCTTTGCTGACCCAAGTTCAATCTGACACGAGTTCAATGTTGCTGACCTGCACTATCAGTGGATGGTAACCGCAGCCCAGGCCCTATCCACTATTTGCACACAGATAGTTATTCAGAATTACGAAAAGCAAACAGCGACAGTTTGGCTGAAGTTGCAATCATCATCGTCATTATCATTACTACTACTATTACTACTATTGCTGCTGCTTCTACTGCTACCA